ATTGTGAAGATCGATTGGTTTTGCGACGCAATGCAGTTTTTTTTTCTTTTTCTTTTTTCTTCTTTTTTTCTTTTTTTCCTTCTTTTTTCTCTTTTTTCTTCTTTTTTTTCTTTTTTTCTCCTTTTTTTCCTTTTTTTCTTTTTTCTTTTTTTTCTTTTTTTCTTTTTTTTTTTTTTTTTTCTTTTTTTTCATTTTCAATGCAGTTTTTTTTTGAGAAGTGATGATGCATTTAAAAACAGAAACAGTACGATGGGAGGGTGGTGGAGAAATTTGCTGATGTACGAATTAATGGACGTGAAAAGGAGCTGATAACGGCTGTGTCACGCTGTGTCTCTATCTGCTACGTAATGTGACAGAACTATGAGACTTGGGTGTTTTTTTAACATTTAACCCTTTAAAGCCTGATCCAAGAATAAAACAAAACAGAAAATTACTTTTTTTTGGTTTGATATCCCTGTTTGGCCTGTATATATATGTGTAAAAAGAAAAAAACAGAAATACCTTTTTAATATTAATAATTTTTTTTATTATGCGATAAGTCCAGATTATTTTTTGTGTAGTCTTCTGCCCCCTGTTATCAGGTGTATCTGATTGTGTACAATAGGATTTTGAGCAAAGTTTTTACCATTAAATCATGCAAAAGGTGTCAGAAACAAAACATTTCAGAAAGCGTATGTATCAAATATGATACATTTGGCATTATAGGGTTAAAAAGGGTTGTTTGTGACTTTTTTTGGGGGGCTTTCAGGACCCGGTTTGATGGCAGCTGCCAGCTGGGGGACCTTGGGGGGGGGGGTGGGTCCGGGCCTACCTGTGGGGAGTGCTCGTATCTCTCGGGTCTGTTGGGATACGGGCAGACGGCGTCGGACGTCCGGGCGGCCTTGGAGCTGCCCTCCGAAATCCACAACAGCTTCTGAGCCGTTTTATCATCCAGAGAGAGGGGGAACCAGTCTGAAAACAGGAAATAATAACACCTAAGAATTTAGAATGAACCTCTGCTTCAAAAGCCTTAACATTAGCAATATAGTCCTGATTTTTTTCAAACTGAGCTCTTTATTAACAGCTACATTTAAAGTTTGGAAGCATCTGAAATGAATTTGTACTTAAATGACATTTAACCAGTTGGGCTTTTTTAATTCTGAGACTGTTGCTTTGCACGAGGGTCCAAATGAATATAACACAGGACGTGTTTTGTCACTGGCAGACTGAGATGATTCGACAGTGTGGCGGAAAACGCCTCTGCTCAAAGGAATTTGAAATCTCTTTGAGGTTGAGTTGTCACAGGATGACATCAGTGTGCATGTGGAGCGATGTTACAGAGCCGGAGTACACGGCGGCTTTATTAGACGTGGGTAAAGGTATCCGGTGTTATTCCCAGGATGCTTGGGGATTGAGAGGATATCGGGGGATTGAAACAGCTGAGGTTGAAAAGAAGGAAAACAGCTGTCTGAATCTTCCCGGTGAAAAACTAAAGGCCTGGTGGAGGAACTCATCACAGCTTATGATTGTCCTCATCCTCTTTTTACTTTTTCTGATTCTGCTGTGCCTTGTCATTCATCATAACGGTGATATTATATCACAGCAGCTTTAAGAGATACGAGGAGGATAAGAGTTTGGCATGGACCAGTCTCTCCACAGCGTGGGACGTGGAAAAAGAGGAAATGAAATAAAAAATCCATCCAAAAATAACACCAAGTTGCCGCTTAACTGCTCCTTAGGAAACACATTTGCTGTAGTCTAAATATTATTACATGACAGATATTAGAATTTACGCAGACACATGAAAATGCTCATTTAAGAAAAAGTATTTTAGTTTTGACTGAATGTGTTAAAAAAACTCATTTTAATTTGCACATTTTTTAGTATTTGTAATTGTTTTCTCACAATGTTTTATTCCTCAACAATCTTAATGCTCATTTTCTCTTTTTTTTTAGACTTTGAACAGCCAACCTGCTTGTCTCAGTTCAGATTTGTGGGCTTCTGTCGGGTTAAATGACAGTTAAATGACTAATACGCTGCCAAAGAGCCTCACACATCCTTACATTTCATGAAGTCAGCCCTGGTGGTCGGTTCGGGGATGTTTGGCTCATACGGGGGCAGCTTTTCTGAAGGGACACAAGAGGAAAACACAACACACAATGACATCCTGGGGTTGTCTCAGTGTCTGTCTCCAGAGGAATTCTCCATCTTTACCTTCTTGAGCGCTGCCGCCTTTTCTCCCTGTGAAGGAGAAAAAAGACCAAAAAGAGGTGTCATTTCTCTGTGATCCAGCTCACTCTGTGTGAGGAGGATCGCAGCTTTCTCCTCAGAGATTTTCTCTCACGTCGGCTTAGATAACAAAGCAGTGAGATGCACAACACTCAGGGCGCCTCTGCCGGGTTTCTTTAAACCTTTTCATCTTTCTACCGTAGGCTCCCCTCGTTCATCAAAGCCGCTGCCAGCTCCGCTCATCTGCAGTAAATCACCCGCAGCTCTCCGCATACTGTAGATCACCCAGCCTGTGTGTGTGTGTCTGTCTGTGTGTGTGTGTGTGAGTGTGTGTGTGCGGCGTCAGCTCGGCTCTGATTCACGAGGCGCCCTCCCAGATTCCGATTTCAGGCCCAAGAAACGCGGAGGCCCGGGCACACATTTGTTAAGTACACACACTGACAGCAGGGGTCTGGTTCTAATAATACACTCTCTATATAATGCCGATGTTTGTTAGGCCCCGGGGCTGAAAGCAGAAAGCAGAAAGCTGCCGGCCCTTTACAGGTTGCATTGGGTTCCCGGTTTTGGATTTCACACAAATAAGTGTTTCCTATTTCATTCTTACTCATCAAACAGAAACAGCTTATTTCCCTTATTCTGTAAAAAAAAAAAGGCCTCAAATTGTGGTTATTGGTGTGTAAGCATATAAACAGACCTCCTAGTCTTAAAACCAGATTTTAAAATTAACTTTCTAAATCTGTTTTTTGTGTTAAATACAGCAGCAGTGTTCTTGTTTTCTTACCGATCACTGAGAGATGTATTTCTATGCATTTCACTTTGGGACCAACAGATTGGATAAAACAAGTCAAATATTTGTCGAACTTAACTTTGTTTCAAATTTGAGTCCAAAAGAAATTAATACATCATCTCATCCAAGAACCAGTTTAAATGTTTAATGATATTTAATCTAGAGCAGATTGATTATAGTTTAATAGTTGTAGAATATTTCAGTTGTGTAACTGGAGCCGTTTGGCAGATCCGTGGGATGGTTTAAGGAATATAAGATGGAACTGATTTGAATTAATGTTAAGTATTTAATGCTCCCTCCTGCTGATATCTCCAAAGAAACTACAGGACATTAAGGTTGGTTATTAAGCTGAATTAAATCTTTAAGTCAAGAGGAAATCCAAATGCCCAATGGAGAGACAATAAATAAATAAACTATGATTAGAAAGTTCAGAATTGTGTCATCACTCTTTAACAAGTTTGGAGCTTTTAAGAGAGACCCAAACACTTTGGTTAATTTATGAAGTTATGAAGTTATGGTGCATTTTCTGTATATAAAAAATGAAATTTTTCATTATCAATACGCTTAAATCTGTTTCTAGTGTTTTGTTACATTCATGGAATTTAATTCAAGCGTTGTTATGTACAAAATGTATCTACATAATGTTTATTATTGGGACATTATGGAAAGTCACAAATGTCACGAGCGTGAATATAAATACGCGGCGGCGTGTCTTTGATCTCGGCGTTACTGGCTCCACGTGTGCCCGAGGAGGGCCCGGGACACGGGCGAGCCGGAGGAAACGAAAAACCTCTCCAGCCTCGGTGACCCTCGGCCGGGAAGGACGCCAACGGCTGGACGACCGAGTGGACAAACAGAAGTCTGCGGCAAACATCTGTCAGAAAGAGGCTCAGGACTGGAAGATTCAGGGAAATGTTGAAACATTTGCTAGCTTCCTGTTCTCAGGGTCCACCTGAAATCACCTGGACGCGGACAGAAATGTGAAAATGGACCGAGTTCTTCAGAAGCTGTTGTACTACTGGGAGGATTAGGAGCTGAGCTCTGTTTGCTCACAAGAAAGGCTCCGCTGCATGGCGATGCTAAACGGAAGATGGGCGAAGAGGAGAAATTTGGCAGAACGGAGACGGATAGAATGACGGCCGTGATTCCGTCATCGGAAAAAAGGCAAGCAGAGAGCCACTGGCGACAGATCACTTCATCAGTCTCACTTCCCCTCCATCTCTGATCTTTTTATTAAAGGAAGTCGGAAGGGTGAAAGAGGGACACGATAAAAGAAAAAGCCCTCTGGAGCGTATGTACCCGGATTCATGAATTATTCACATCAGACGATGACATTTGAAGAAATCTGACGCCACGATCAATCCACAAATGTGTAAGACGGCTCTGGTGTCTGTCTGAACACATTAGGTAAATCTGGAGTGAGATATCAAGCCGGTGGAAGGTTGGGCAACTGAAAATGTTTCCGTGCAGCCCCCCCCCCCCCCCCCGTGGACGGCTGTCCCCCCCCAGCTGGGTAAACAGCAAAAAGCCCGCGGGGATAAACTCAAAAAGACTGATGAGTTGACATCAGAGCAATAGAGACGTGGAGGACACGGCGGGGTGCACCGCCGAGGTGTGAGGCGAGAGGAATTTAAAGGCAGCGGGGCCATAAAAAGATACTGAATCAAGTCAGGAATAGGGGATGTATACGTGGAGCAAAGCATTTCTCAGCCGGTGTCACAGCAGGAATCTCAAACGCATTCAGAGGACTTTTACGATTTTAGGATTGGCTCACATAAAGGTGCATTTTGAAACAATTATGGAGTTCTACTGTTTAACTTGGACATTAGGACTATTTCAAATGCTGCAATCATATCAGAAAACATGAGATTCAATGGAAACCTTTAATATTTGTTCTGACATAAATGGGTTACAAAGGGTAATAAACCAAATAATTTGGTAAAATGGGTTGGAGAATTTTTTTTAAAGAGATATTAAATGTTCTCATAGCTCTTTGTTATTGTCGCCGCAGCTTCAAAGATGCGAGCGGCTCTGAGCTGAAAGGTCAGCCATGGATTTCTGAACGCTTGTTTGCTTTGGACGGTCACGAGGTGGACTTTCCTTTCCCTGATTCCTCTCTCAGTGGGACAGAGCGACATTATCTGAGCAGATCGGGTTCAAAACATCCCGCTGAGACAGCAAGATTAGAAGATGAGAAGGGAGGAGGGAGATCCGCGCTCATCCCTCCGGTTCCCGTCAAATGTCAAGTCCTCCTGGCTGCCGGCCCGCCGAATGAGGAGCGTGCGTGCAAGAGATGTAGATGAAGGAGATAGAGCTGGCAAGATGGATAAAGACTCTGGGAAAAGGGTAGGATTCAGGGGCCTTGAAAAGGGTTAACAAGGGCTCCTGTGGGCCTCTAAAAGTTTCCAAATCAATTTTTCAAATCATATTCAGTGTATTTTTATCCAGCATGGGCCAGGCCATCTCTTTATCTAATCAGATTTGCCAAATTTCTCATGGATTCCTCCGATTTACGGAGATAAAGTCAGCTTTTGAGGCCGGAGGTGCTCTGTTACACAATTCCAACAGACATGAATAAAACCAGCGTGAGCTTTTCCATTTGGTCTCGGGTGGGTTACGTAAAACGTTATATACACGTTAAAGAATATCCCAAAGAAGCAGCAAATGTTGCACGTGGGGTTTCTACCTGCGTGACAGGAGAACGTGAACGCTGACCGGTAGCTCAAGGCCTGAAAATCTGTCCAGAAAGGACGGAAACACGTAAGACGGGCGGAAATCTGAGCTCCGAAACCGAAGCTGAGACACGGAGACTGTCAGCGAAGATGAGCCTCCGTGCAATTCGTTGACATGATTAATAGCCCCCGAGAATTCTGGCAGAATCCGAGGTGAGGAAGGAAGTTTGGCTCAGAGCTGACCAACGGGGATGGTCAGCACGGGGACACTTAATAGCATCGAATAAGCAACGCAGGAATCACATCATAAACGGGTAATAAAACACTGTGACAGGCGGTAAATTAGGCTTAAGCCGCCCGGGAGCGACACGGAAAAGCAAGTGAGAAATAGTTCAGAAACTGTCGCTCGGTGATTTGTGGCCACGTAATGATGGCGTGGCGTGAATTAGAGGATCTGGAATTAGGGCAGGTGCACAGCCGTCGATTCAGAAGAGAACAAAAGGAAAGAAAAATTATGTTAAACCATTAGTTTTAGATAATCTGAACCAGGAAATGTCAATGAACATTAAAAAAAAATCATCCAATCCAAGCAGGTTGGATAACAAAGCAAACAGAAGGATCCTAATGACACAGTGAGGACAGTAAATATCTCCCATAGGTGAGCCCCCCCCCCCCCCGATGGTTTTGGGTCCTTACCGGCTTTCTTGGGCACAGGCATGGCCGTCTTGCTGTTTGGCATGAGGAGAGGTGTTCCTGTAGTAGTGCTCTGTGGTCCTCAGAAAGCCACTTTTATTAACTTTCAAATCATTGGGGGGGAGGGGGGGGGGGGGGGGGGGGGGACACACACAGGTTTTGGTTGGCTCAGGTGGGACAGCTACCCAAACCGTCCTGTCACATGAGGCGCGTGATCCCTTCAGGGGATCAGATTGATGGAGACAGTACCCAGTATATCCTAAGTATGCGCGCGTATTAGCATAAACACTGAGCATGTGCACTCCATACCCCCCCCCCCCCAGATCATTCACACGACGCGTAATGATGGATGACGGAAACTGTCTGTTCTTCGAGTGTCCACGGCTTCAGAACGATGGCCGTTCCCTCTTAAATCGTCCCTAAAATGAGGCGTAGCTGGTATTTTCTCCGCGGACAGCGTGTTCCGTCAGCAGTTAAGATGGCTGCCAGGCTCCGGCGGGGGAGCTGTCATCAATCCCAGATTCCCATTCATCAGCATCTGCTGGTTGCGAGGAACTGGGGGCAAAGTGTACCAAAGTGCTAGCGTGGGGCTCGGGGGCTTGTCAGGAGAACGTCAGCACGCGTTTTCCACTCCGACTGTTCAGCTGTCGCGAGTCCACACCTTTAAAATCGCTCAGATTTTCTTCTCCACGCAGCCAAGACGCTCCCAGGTTTTTCTAACACTGAAGCTGACTTTATGTCATCTCCTAAAGCCCCCGTGAAATGGCAAAAGTAGCAGAATTTGTCGGGGAAAAGGCCCTTGTGTTATCCGACTCGTCGTGTCCAGAGTGTGGGCTGGACCTGACCTCTGACCCCAGCTGTCGGCCACCCCCTCACCACAGGATCTCCTTATCTGGACCGGTTTCCCCTCTCTGGGAGGAACATTGGCCAAACTCCTCATCGTCAGGCCTGTTTCAGCTGGACGATGTTACATCAGAGGCAGCAGAGATTGGTTTTCTGTGTCCCACACGTTTTTTTTTTAAATATTTAACATGTATGTTCTGCCAATTTTTAGAAAACAGTGGAATCATGTTCTGTCATTCACATCTTAGTCAGCCTGAATGTTTTTTTGTAAAAACACATTCATTATGAGGGCAGAGAGTCTTATATTTCATATTTGACCAAAATCTGAAACCAATTTAAACTGCTGTGGCTGAAAATGTTCTCAACTTTTGTGCTGAGATTGTTAAAACTCCTGCAATTTTACCCGATTTTACAGCAACATCGTGTTGCTCATTCAGCTATTGGTCTTACTGCTTTAGGTTGAATCTTTTCTTTATACAGAAAAAGTTCAGGTTTGATCCATTTATCTTGTAATTTTCAGAAATGACAAAATGTAATGTAAATGTCAGTTAAGCACGCTCATTTTGGACAGTCTGCATTTACACCTGAAGTAATTTAACAAAACTGTTGTAGATCTGTTTGTTTTATTTTTCAAAGATAATCCTAAAATGATCTACTTTAACTGGACTTTTAGGGGACACAGCTACAATATGGTACTCAAATCTCTCCATTCATCTGAAACATTGACCTGCATGAAATATACAACAAAATCTACATCTGGTTTCAGAGTAAGCTGTATTCATCATGCACCTCAGATCATTTTGATATCGAACGATAGCGGGAGGCTAATCGTGTTCCACCTGAAAACTCTGGCTCATCTTAATTGTTACAACCTAATAGGAAATAACTGTCATGAGTACACGGCTCACTCCTTATTAAAGGAAGAATTTTAATGAAGTGTAACTGCCCGCTTAGCGCCCGCTGCATGTGCTCCTCACGCGTTCAGTGTGAGGCATGAAAACTCATTTCAACACCTGCTGCTTAGCGCTATCAGTGGCCGGGCTTAAACGGTATTGTATCACGACCTTTGGGGGCATTTTTGGGCGCCACATTATACCCCCATCGATCACAATGCCCGGCCTGTGTGCATCGGCTTAGCTGGGACACGCCGGATCGCCTTACTTCATTACATGCTAACTCGGTGGGTCGTTGGTGATGTATGGTGTGTTTAGGTGTGTGTGTGTGTATGTGTGAAGGGGCGGGGGTTCAATAGGTGCCAGGCTGTAATCTGCAGAGGCCTGCGGGGATGCTGTTCGGGGTCTGTCAAGACATCGCCTTGTAGTTTTCTTAGCTTTCCTCTGACGGACGGGACAGCTGCCCCCTCCCTCGGACCTGTCGCTCAGTCCTCTCCTCTCAGTGTGAGGTCCGAGTGCTGCGTTCAGGGACACTTTTCTGTGAGCCATCCACAGGCAGAAAGTCAGGTATCCTATAAAGGTTGAGAAAAATGGGAATTAAATGAAGACGATGTGTCAGTTAAGAGGCCGCGGACTTACAAATTAGCGTGTGAAAAGCAGGTTTTACACACCGCCAGTTTTCATCCCAGTGGTTTTGTAACATGTGGAACCCACCATGTGCTTTAAGCAAACAATGAGCAATCATCAGCATCTTTCCCAAGAGAGGAGAAGAAGAAATAAGAATGTGGACGCATCCAGAATGGCTGTATCTGCGTTGGGGACCATGGACAGGAAATGTTTAGCTAATTACCACATCGGCCTTTAGCATTGACCCAGCCTTTATTATTCTCCAGGTAAAGAAAACAACTGTAGAAATGGACCTGCTTCACCTTCAGTTAAACATCATTGACAGAATGGATGCAGAAAATGGTGATTTTAAGAATATTTCCACCACTGAACATCCTCCTCATAATTCTTCTGTTAATGAAGCAAAAGTAGATCTGAGGGCACCGCTTTCATCGAATAGACTCTCATTTCAGCCACGGTTAAGGGCTGAGGTGATTAAAGCGAGTGGATTTACAGTGTGAAAACAACACAAAATCAACTCCCCGCCCCTCCAACACCACCTCAGCACAACCCGAGCCCCGCCACAGCCCGTAAATCAGGACCCGTCAAACGGGGGGGCACACGCCGTCACACTTTGGTCTTCAGGCTGTGAGATCTTTGAGTTGAGCTGCGATGCCAGCTGTAACACAACGTTCTCCCTTTTTCTCCTCTACAGAATTAGGTTTCATTCACTTTTTCTAATCTCAAGGTGTTGAAACTGCAGGTGAGTGGAACTGTCAATTACCTTTTCCAGGTTTGACGTCCAAAACTTGAAAAATAGAAAAGAAATTCTGTTTCGTCCTGTTTAATAATACATAATAATACAATATATGATCAGAATGATAATAATATTAAATTATTTAACCTAAAAAGAGACCGTGCTTCTTAAATCAGAATTAATGAAGCATGTTTGCAGACATATATCTTCAACATATTAGAAAATGTGTGCGTTAAAATGGCCAAGTTCCAGTTTAAAAACCTAAAAATATACAAATGACTTCATTTAGGTCTCAGCTTTAGTGTTAACGGGCTAAAAACTGTGCAAAAAGGACGAACAGCACATCTCCTGTTCTGGACTATTTTTTATTTAAGTGCTTTCTTAGCCCCCAAAACTCAATATAACCCCAAAACCCCCAGAAATGCAACAAATGCTACAGGCAGGAATAATTTTATCTGAACATATAAACCTCCAAATTGATTTGTTGCAACCCAGTTAGTTAAAACCGATGAGGGCGATACAGACAACATTTATCAATCGTTCATTTTCATGTGAACAGCGAACAAACTACAAAGTTACCGCAAAGTTCCAGCCTGATGCGTTATTTTCAGTGACTCTGTGATCCAGATCCAGGCCCTTGTCCTGTCGGGGGATCTACCACAGTGGGTTTGTATTAAACCCGTTTTTTCCCTCTAATGGCTGTGATTGAACGGCTGAAACTCGCATCGAGCGAGGTGACACGAGAGGCAGCGTGCTTATTTTTTGGCTCATTACCAGCAAGACAATCTCAAGATGAGCTCCTGCCTGGGAACACATGAGGAGGAAGCACGGCAGACCAACAGAAAATAGTTTATCAGGGCTGACAAACTAGTTTCTAGTGGAGAGTAGTAGCTGTTTCCAGTACAGAGGATTACTCGGATGAAATTATGAGAGAAATAACCGATTTAAATAGAATATTCACGGCAACATCTTTAAATCTCCAAGAAATGTGATCTGATATTAACCTCCTGAGAGTTCGAATTTCTGCTTCTCTGTACTTCTCCTTCTTTTTCCTTTTGACTTTGACCTCTGGACCTCATAGCGGACGCTCTCAGACACTACTGTTTGAAATCTGAAGTAAAATGGTTTCAGACATTTTCAACCAATCATCTTCTTATTGCATAATTTAAAATGTTGTAAATAAGTCATTTGGACAGTCAAAACCAAATTGCAGAAAACATTGAATTAAATATATAGAAAATCATTTTAGATATAAAGATAAACCCACAAAGTCTATTAGACTTATTAGGTCCTACTAATCCCAGATATCTTGATAAAAGCTAAAATTCACACCAAATAAAAGCTCAGCTCTCAAGAGGTTAAAGTTTTTCTGTCTTGCTTCTCAAGCAAATGGACATAAACTGTGTGACGCCAAAGGTAGTCAGGAAATGTTCCAAAGTGTGCGTAATCCCAGCTAATTGTGCTACTGGTGATATCACTTGAATCCACGGGCCCCCGGCTCCTCACAGGCAGACGGCTCTTCTGAGTCCGTCTCTGCTTTCTCCCAGCTGTTATCACCATCTTATCCCTCCTGTTTTTTTTCAGCGAGACAGCAGAAGCGATGAGTGAGCGGGGCGCGGCGCTCCCAGAGGGAGCCGGCAGGTGATTGGCCGGCCTCGGCTTTTGTGTCGGGGCCCGGCATAGTCCTCCCAGTCGGAGGTGCTGACTAAAAACAGCCGGCCCCGGAGACTGGCGCGAGGGTGAGGAGCCACTCGTGTTGACACAGGGATTTTGGGACATTCTGTTTTTTGAGGCCGTGTTGTTGGGAGTCAGTGACCTCATTCCCTGACCCATAAGTAAAAGCACAGACGGATGAGGGGAAGAAGCCTGTCAGTTCATCTCGTTACACGTTAAGCTTTGATTGGGTTTGTTTGTTTGGGTGGATGTTTCTGTACTTTGGCTCTTCTTATTTGCTCCAAAAACTGGGAAACAGACTTTGTAAGGCTTCCAGTGGGTTTCACAAGACTTTAGGGTCATTCTGACATGTAAACGTCTGTAACAGAATGGGCCGTTTTAGTTTTGGAACCGGGTGAGTTTCTCCCCCCTTGAGGCAGGTTAGGGTGACAAATGCTCTTTTTCTACATATTTACCTAAATTCCCCACTATGGGATAAAGTCTAATATTCATGGTTGTATCTTCGCTAAAAATCTCTGTCGGCTTTCCTGCATTGATTTAAAAAAATAAAGAGTTAATTAAACCCAACTTTGAAAAAAAAAAAAAAAAAAAAGTCACACCTTTTCCTGTTCTGAGAACGGTTTCTGCTCCGTACAGAACTTCTGCTGACACCAGGAACTAAAGAGGCACTGTGGTTCTGCCTCGTTATGACTGATGAGTCCCAGCTGCCACCGGTTTGATCGGCATCCCAGCATGCACTCTGTTTCACCAGCTTTAACTGTGTTATGATGTTAAAAAGACTGAAGAGGGTTAAGGTGAGACCACAGACGTTCATTCAAAGTGACGACCAAAGACACTTAAATACTTTATTTTCACGTTGGTATTAAAAATGCAGTCTTCGGGGGGGTAGTCTGGACTCTAAACTGAGCAGGGTTAGGCTGAGTGTGGCGACCATGCGTCATGTTAAATAGCGTCATGTACAGCATTTAAAAACTGCCTAATTATTAGCTTCTGTCTGTTGATCACCGGCCTCCTCCGTTAGCAGCTCCTCCACCAGCACCTCCTCCTGATTGGTCCTGAGCTCCAGACATCATCAGGAAGAGAACGAGAGGCACGATGTACATCCACTGTAGGAGGCAGAGCAGAAAAGGGAACATATTACAGCATGTTTGTGATCTGTGATCACAGATTTGGACAGTCATGAGAAAAATAAAGTACATCCCCTGAAAACTCTTTAAAAATGGCGGCTGAAGGAGTTCTGAATGTTGTTCTGAACGAGCCTCTCTTCACGCGTCTCGCTTTGATCCCGGCAGAACAGGAGCAGAACCTGACCCGTTTCCAGGTGATGGGAACCCAGAAAACACTAAAAACATAAGTGTTTTTTTAAACACACTGACTGCACAAAAACTATGGTGTCATAGGTCGTGTGTCAAGACCAGATGATTCTTTTATGTCCCCATTTTTGTATCAAATTTTAGAGTTGAGAGGGTGTACTTTCTTTTTCCATTTAATTTAAAGTAAATCCCGATTTTCCTCCCCATTAAATCCCTTTTCGTTTTGAAACAGAAGACAACAGAAGGGGTGAAAGACAACAGAGTGAAGAGCTCAGGGTCAAACACCAAACACATTCCATCCCACCTACGCTGCCGAATTTCTAAAAGAGGTCCTTCTGTTATGATTAAATTTGATCTTTGCATTGGAGTATTTGGCATTGGACCTGGGAGAGAGCACTCGAGTGGAAAAGAGAGAACAAATGGAGAGCAAAGGGATGTGTTTCAGTTAGTCACGCTGCTCAAAGGTTAGAGACAAACGGACAGTGGAGGGAGGAAGGGGGACAGAAGGAGCCACAAGGAAGAAAACTGTACTTCAGTGGGAATCAGCTCTGCTCTCTGCCGCCCCCTGCTGGGGGCTGTGCCGAATTGGAGATCATGAGGAAGATTGCACCTCCCAGAATCAAATACCACTGGAACACAGCACAGCACCAAGTCAACACACCATCACTGAACACAGCACAGGGCAGTGAACACACCACAGAACACAACAGGACAGAAAAAGACCATAAAAGCTCAGGTGAGCCAAGCGGCCGGACACAGGAGCAGGTTGTCTCTGGAAATGGGTCTCCAACAGAAACTGCTTTACACTAGATAACAACTCGGAATGCCAGAAGACAAAAAAACAACAACTGTCTTCTGGTTATAAAAGACGACTTTTTGGTATTAAAGTTTAAAAGTGAACTTCTTAAAAAGCGTAGATTGAATGGCTGCCAAACGAGAAAGCACAGAGACGAGTTTAAAGCCATCAGAAAGAATGAGGGTTTGGTCCAGAAGACTCTGGCTTTGAGCTGGTGTGAAGAGACTTGCTTGACCTGAGACAAAACTGTCAGTGTAAAATAACTTTTGAATAGGAAAGACGAATCCAGTGAGTTCAAAACAGAAAGAAAGGAACAAGCACTTCGACTCTTGAGGACATTCCTCCTTGTTAGCCTCAGCTGACGGCGTCTTAACGCATGCTAACCGCACAGGTTGCTACAATCCCAGCACAGATGACTCATGGCTCAACCGATAGCTGCCCACGACAGCAGTTTTACATTATGAGTACTTACATATTTAGCAAAGAACGATTTCTGCTCCTGTGGATTCTTTCCTTTCTTCTCCGATTCTTGTTCCATTCGTTCTAGGAACAGAGCCGTCTCAGGTCTGGAAGAAGATGATCAATATTCAAACAAAGCCCACAACAGAGAGCACATCAGAGGCTTTTGAACAGGCTGGGTGACAGACAATAAAGTCACCATGTTTGATGCTCTGATTATTTTTAGCTTAATCTAATGTCAGAACCAGTCACACAGAAAGTCTGTTCCATCATCACAGTCAGCGAGACAAAGATGGCAGCACTGACCCCGGAGCATTGACAGGAGCCATGACGCTGAGCGTGGTGTTGAAAACCTCCAGATCTACTTCATCTTCAACCTCGGTGCCTCTGCAGGCTCCAGGCAGCGTCACGATGGAGACGCCGATGACGTACCCAGAGACGTCGGTGTGAAGGGTGATTACGTCACTCAGGTGGGACTCAACCATGGCGCACTGAGGATCCCACCAGAACACAACAAGGATTTGAGTAAACTAAGGTAAGACATTGACTTAAAGATTCTGTTATTGAGCTTAAGATGGTCTTTAGAGCTTGCTATTATCAGCTAATTATTTACTTTTGCAATAAGTAATGACTTGACATTAAAGCCTAATTAATTAAAAATTAATACAGCAGATTCACATGGAGTTGAAACACACCGCTCTAACAAACGCTGTGAGGTAGCCCTCCATTTGTAACTCTGCCTGTCGGTCTGCTTGCAGAAAAACACGAGGCACTCGGATTTTGTAGAGACCGTCAACAGCAGCCACTTCCTGAGGGGGAAAACAAAAACATCTTACAGAAATCCCCACAAATCACCCAATATTACCAACATCAGTCAACATTCTTTCAGCGTGTGAGACAAAGGCTGGTCCGGTCCTGTCAGAATGTGTCCTTAAAACATTGAACCAGGATGGATTTATTCTTTTTTGTACCCATTTGTCATGGTTTACCTTGAGCTTGGTTCTGTCCTCTTCTGAGAGCTGGTTCTGAGAAAGCGAGACGCTGGGCTCCCTGCCAGCTTTCAACACCAACGTCCCACGTACCTGAAATTTTGCTATATCATCTGAATTAAGAAAAACAGAACAAAACAGCATGAATTTTTGAGGACCGGACCATCATCGGTTTTAGAGAGCTCTTAACTTCCCTCTTACACAATGTGATGATCAACTCTGTACTGCTTTCAAATTAAAACAGCTATTTTAACTTTACTCTTTATAGACTGAATCCTAAAATCATCTGTCCTTATGATACAGTGGCACATGGTTTGTTTTATAGAGCAATCCAGGAAGTGTTTCCAAACTGGAGATGGACAGACAATAAAAAAGGAAAAACATGCTGGGTAGTTGAATGAATTATCCATCAATCAAACATGATGGACAGGCATGTTAAAGAGAGAGAATTTCCTTGTTTTCTTCCTTGAAACATGTTTGGGTTATTACTGTACGACTGTACAAAAATAAAAGGACATACAGGATAAAGACTGAGTCTGTTGACAGTAACATTATGAAGTTACTGTGACCATATTCATGTTTCCTTAAAACATGCATGCACATGAACAGCCCGCAGAATAATTGGTAAAAATATGCAGTTTCTTGTCGGTGTGATTTAACTGTACACCCGCTGCTCAGTTAGCTTTTGAGCCTTAGCAACAGCATAAAACAACAGTATCGTGAAAATATGTACTTACCGACTTCAAATGAATGTTCAAGAGGCACAGTAAAACCACTCAATTCTGTATCCAAAGCGTCACCAACCTGTGGATAAAATTAAATCTATCGTTAGTTTGTTAAACAAGGCTAATGCTAACCCCTTAGCCAGCAGGTAACTTCCGTTGTATTTTTGCAGTAAAAAGAAATCACTCTGGATTAAATATATAATTCTTACCCTTCGACCGTTATTACACACCACAAAATTAAAGGATACGACGAAAAAAACTGTGACAACAGCAGCAATATTAGATGCTAGTAATCGAGCCATTTTGACAGGAGCGTGTACCGGATGTCCGTATCAAGGTTGTCACCACAACAAAAGCACTTCCGGTGTTTTTATTTTTAACGTGATTTTTCAATTAATCAATAAGATGTTTCACTCCTTGAATTTTTTTACATTTTGATCTTGAAATCTCCCTTGACCCAGTCAGAATATAACTACTGACAAACAGTAGTTTTCTGGTTTTATGAAAGATAAATCAATCGAATAAAATAAAAAAAAATCAATTTAGGCTTAAATGTCCCTGGCCTTGATTGCTCATTGATTATTCATTTTGAGATGATCCCTCTGCCCAGCTTTAATATGGATTTATAATACCAGTAACAAGAAAAAGATCTCATACACGTGTTATAACACGTGTGCCCAGAAGACGAACTTGGATGCTGACAGAAATGAGTTGACTATGTTGTAACTGATGAACTGAAATTGCACCGCATTCTTGTGATGTGTCAGCAGCAGTTTCATTTAATGGAAAATATCAACGTTAGCTAACCTCTGTTTCACCAACTATGTAGCATTGCTACTTATTCTACTAAAGAGGGGATCAGGATCAATGATTTCCTCACCTGAATCTAGATAAATGTTTTCTTGACCCAAAATCTAAACATTAAGCTTGAATGATTTACTGTGGGTGAAGGATGAATGGTGTCATACCTGTCATTTCGGATGTGGGCATCCATGTGATGATTCATGTGTATGCGCTGACACAGCCAGGGCCAGCAGAGGCTGCCAGCAGACCGGAAAAGACTCCAACCTTTCTCTCACCCCAATGCCATTCAAAATCCTTTAAAAGTACCACTTTTATGAGATGAATACTAAATATTTATGTGCTGTGATGAAGAGGGCTATTCAGATTTTCAATTCATTTAGTCAGCATTTGCTGCTTTCCTTCAGCCTGGATTTTAGTCCGCAAAATGTCCTTTTAAGGAGCAAGTCTGAGCTAAATCACAAACTGCACGGCTCTCAAGACCCAGATTAGTGTTTTACTGGGATGTGACTAAATTAAACTGCAACGCACAGCTGTTCTGGCACCATTCTCAAATGACTATTTCTAATAGTTTTTTTTTTTTTTTCCATACTAACACTTATTTGTGATCTGTGGAGAAAATGTTCAATAAAGCAATGGAAAAAAACTGTGGGTATTTGATGCTCGCTATTATTATTTAATATACTGTAGCCAAATGTGCTTTAGAATTCTGTTAAATGAGATACGTAAAGGGGCTGAGATACCATCATAATGTCCCAGAATTAGCCCTGGCTGGCCTCTTTTCTTTTCATAATTTCAGCTGCTTCTGTTGAGCAAAGGCAAGATGAAATAAAACAGCACCTCAAGGGTTTCCTAATGATGTAAACACAACATTTTCTTATTAAACTGTTTTATCATTTTGTTGGTACTATTCAGCCTTTTTACTGACCTTATAAGAAGGCCGTTGTTCGGGCATCAGCTTTCTTCCCATCGTTACATGCTTTGGTTTGTTAACAGCGTTCCATCAGCTCAACGGGCTCAATGAACACAGACCATAATATGTTCAACCCCCGAGCCAGAATTCCTGGCTCGTTGTTCTCCTTCTCCTGGCCGGCACGCACTGGAGCCTGGCCCCAGCAGCTCATTTAACCGCCTCCGAAGATGCCAAGATGCTGCCGGAGAGTGTGGGTCAGCTAAAGGGCAGATTGGCCGCGACTTTACTGACAGATGTTGCTACTAGAGCCGCCCAGAACGTAAAGTTATCAAAGCAGAGAATAAAGAAATCATCTTCTGCTCCGGAGCAAACGTGATTGATGTGAATTATTTCTCAATGCTTCTTTTTGGCTGAGGAATTCCGCTGACATGCAATAAATGCCCTGTGGAAGAAGTAAAAGGCATCCATCATCTCAAATGCCACCGTTTCAGCATCAAAGTGCTGAAAGGGAGTATTGAATCCGGTAATGATATCTTAAAGTTTGAAAAACTGAGACTACTTTTTGGGGGCCCGCTTGCTCTAACTTCTCTTTTGTTCACAGAGGTGCTTTTTGGGAAAGAGCAAAACCTTGTGGTGTTTTTGTCCTGCAAATTGTGAGAATTACAGTTTAGGTCGTATTCAAAGATCTCGGGTAAAAATACAAACATCTTTGACAGTAACAGCGGGGTCAGAGTTGTAATTAGTCAAGAAGGCGATTAATTTCCTTAATAGTAAGTAAGATTTAAAACAAATGTCAACTTTATTGCATTCATAATTGATTCATTTATAAGTAATACCTGATGGCTTTTTCCTTTTTTCCCAAAACGAGAAGCATTTTATGTATTTTCTATTTATCTGTCAACAATAACCTGCTGATGCCTGCACATGCAGTTTGTTTATAATATGACACAATAATTTGATAGTTAACATCATCGTAATGATGTTAATGCAAACAGTGAGTGTCTCATCTTCTCTATAAAAGTAGCGGATCTTTGTACAGAGCATCTGGTAACTGAGGCATGTCTATCCCCTCGGGCTCTGCCTCTGAAGCTATGCGGACCTGTACTGTATCTGTTCCCCCTTACTGGGACAGCCCATTACTCTCTGTCACCACCCCAAACAACGGTGTCACCTTACTATTCTTAGTCAAACCCGGAGCCCATGTGCTGATGTGAGACGACAGCAGGGCTTCCACTTTGTCACGGCCTGTCACGCCGCCTGCCTGTAAGAAGGAAGTGGGGTGAAAAATCAGAAGGAGACGCCAAAAGCTGGAAAAAAAAACAAGGCCGAAGTTTGACATACTCTCCCGGTTTTGTCTTAATCTGTCCTCCACGTGTGCCTATGCAGTATTGGATTATAATGTGTTAATTTTGTAGGATTTTTTATGATCTAATAAAATGTACGAGGACAGGAATGATCATCACATTCTTGTTTTCTGAATTTGACTACGTGAGGTGTCAGTTAATAGTTTAAAGACAGTTGTTTATTTTCAATGAGCCGTCGTGTTCACACTTTTGAATAAATACTCCTGTGTAATTGAGTTTTGTCTTATCAAGAAAAATAAGCCCTGTTACAACATAAAGGACTAAACCAATTAAAGGATATGAAAAAACACTCCTAGTACATTATTAATGTTAAAGAGCCCACTCATAAAACTTTGCAATCATTCAGTTGTAACTGGACCTCAGTACAGCCAGAGGGGAGAAACCCAGTTTGGTTTAGTGAATTAAAACGATGTGTTTTGTACTGATTGCTAAAACTGCGTTTAATTAGGCAGCTATCTGTCTCCTCTGGCTTCTCCTTCTATTAATGCTATTCCCAAAAAGCAGCCACGCCTGAGGTGGATGCAGAGTCATGAGGAGTGTTTACCTGGTGTCGGTTCCAGTTGATCCGCTGTGTGAAATGTTCCTGCATCTGGCTGGAAACAGTCCAGAAGAAACATGCGTGTTGAGTTTACTGCTCATGCGAAATAGGAGTGAAAATGAGAATCCTGAGCTGATAAAAGTTGGACTAATAGCTATCCATCACAGCCCAGTTCTGTGTCAACGTAGACATTTAGAGAGAAGTCATGTATTGAAAATGTAAAGTCATTTTTTTTCTTTATTTCTTCATTTTTTCAAGGACTTGCAAAAATGTTTGATAAGATCACTAAATCCTTCTTACGTGAAACAGAACAGCTTCACTTTCAATAAGTCTCCAGCACAGCCATTTTCTTTAAGTACTGAGCACATTCGGCAAAAACAAGTTAATTATACATCTAACGAACATGCTACGACATTATCATTTCATTCAGAGCAAATCTCTGTATATGTAAGTCCAGTATTCCATCATTTTGAACTCTTTTTGGTCCAGTTTTGGTTCACACTGTTCATTTAGCATCTGCAGTCTGTGTCCACTGAATAATAACAGCAAAGCCTCAAAAAGAATCTGTTAAAAAACTATGCAAAGCTCCATCTATTATTATTCTATATGATTATCATGGCAAAAAGCTGTGACAATGACAATATAAACAGAAAACGGTGGAAAAATAAATCACCATTGTGCGTATCATAGACAAAATTCTAATAATACACTCAAAATTCAAACAACAATTGTGAATTCTGATCCATGAGTCTCTTTTCCATATTCTGTGACTCTGTCATCATTATAAGCTCTTTATTCTTTGAGTTTGCTCGTTTTATTTGCTTCCCGTATGTTCAAATCTGCCGAAGAAAGGGGATCATTTCAGCTTAAACTTTGCAAACGGCTCACTGAGTGCTCCAGTGAACACAGAGGAAAAGATACTCCGCTCCGCCTCGTGGAGAAATGTTCAGCTCTCGCATCTTATCTGCGTGTTTTCATAAGACGCGGCATCAAAAACTAACTTGGTGACACTTGGGAAACAAATATTCCTAAGCCTGCGTGCCGCTGGCCTGAATCAGTCCCGGCGGCTTACAAAGAGACAAAGCGTCTCTCTTTTGTTGCATCACAACAATGCACTGTCAGAGTTTCTCCCTTTTCGGTTAGCATCCACAGTCCATAAAATCCATAAAATCTTCTGCTGACTTGGAGGATTCGCCCCCAAAAAAACAGAAAGACTCCAAACATTCATGAATTCCTTTTTCTCAACATTAAATATTGATGCTCGACGCGGCCCATTCGTGAGTTTAATTTCCAAACAGGTGTGCAACTGTCACAGGAGAGCAGCTATGAGGGGGGGGGGGGCTGCCTCAGTTGGCTTAATGCACACTTTAGTGAGGCTTAACTAATGAAAGCGTTGAATAACTTTGATGTCATCCTCACGGCCGATCACTGGATCGTATGGGACACTCACAGAGAGTCTCCTATAACCGTTTTGATGAATCGTTATCAATTCAAAGGCTTTAGTTGGAGAGTAAATCACAACCGATGAGCTGTGAATGCATAAAAGGGATTTATTGAAGGCGATTTAGCCTCCAATGTAAAGTTACGATGTACAGTAAGTGTAACGACTGAAGGACCTTTTATGTCCTTTTCAGCTCTCCATAATCTTCCTCGAGGGTATTTTGTTCTCCTTGGACATCCAAATCTCCGGTTACACTTGCCTTAAATAGCTGTTCCTCAATCGCTGCCTCTCTCTCTGACTTACGCTCTCTGTCTTCAAATTAAAGCCTCAAAGAATGTTCATTGTTATTTTCCAAGGTTACGGCTGCAATTTAGGCTTCACCGCCGCCAAAAAAAAGGACACAGATGAATAAATGGGAAGTGAAATGATTATCTAACGCATGACTAAACAGAGATGTTTATCATCTCAGTATGTGGATGGCTTTGGTATAAAAGGTCGAGTTTTTGTCTTTTCCTTAAAACACACATCGTAAAACGCGTGGGGAACTCTTTTCTCACAGACAACACCTTTGATTTGTGTTTGTTTGCGTTTTTTGAAATGCTGTTGTGTCTCGTTTCCAGCCTCCCTTAACCCGGCCGGTAATCGATACTGTAAGCATGTGAATCATGCTGATGAGAGGGAATCGATGTTTAAACACTTAGAGGCACTAAATCCGCGCGCGCGCACGTGACTGCGTGCCGTGCACGGGCGGGGAACGAGTGTCAGACCTTCAGTCCCGCCTGTCCGTCATAATTCAGAGGACTTCTGATGGCTGGTCAGCGGCGACATTCAGACAATGATGATGAACGCTTTGACATTTAATCAGCTCGCCTTTAAATCTGATAAACGGTTGATCCGGCTAACCAAAAACAACTCAGAGCTTCATTAACAGCTCTGGATTTGGAGATCCAGCTTATAGACTGTGTTTAATGTATGTTTGATACCCAAACCTTGTTTAAGTTCTTTCTTTATTCCTGCCTGCTGCTATACATGCTTTGACCTATGACAAAAAACATGTATTTTTAATGTTTTTTTTCGGATAATTCCACTGTCTGGTCTAGTTGACCATTCAACAGCTGGCATATTCACCCACATCATGTCCTCTTATATGAAATTTAAAAGGCTGCGCAATGTTTTTTTGCCTTTATCGCACACATTTCCACAGAAATAGATGCAACAGCATAGGAAATGGAGTTTGGTTTGATGCAAAAGGATAGACGAACAATACTGGATCTGGCACAAGATTGAACATTAAGATTAATTAAATTAAAATATAGTAATTTTGCCTCTTACAGAAGCCAAGTTTGGAAAACACTTAGAAAACAGCAGGTACTGAATAAAGCGCTGAACACTAAGAATGCTTAAACAGACATAAAAATACATAAATCTGCTCAAAAAAGTAAAAAATGAGATCACAATAAAGCAGAAGATAGCTTCTGAGGGGTCAAAGGCCAAATACGAGATGAGGGTTTTAAGGAGAGATTTAAAATAGCCAGTGGAGACATCTCCTCATGCAGTGGCGCTTTGCCTCCTCTGAGCTTTCACTGACCACGCCAGCAGCTGGTCAGCTGGTCAGCTGACCTGAGCCACTGGGAGGGGGGTGGAGGTGGGGGGGGGGCATGGAGGAGTCAGAGAGGGCGAGGCGGAGAGGTGGCGGGTTTTAAAGCAAACCCTGAAAAGAGTGGGCAGCCGGTGCCGTGAGGCTGAAACCGGAGGCGTGCGGCAGAGAATGGCGATCGGTTTATCAAAGTGTCGGGTGATACGAGCCCTTATATGAGCCCGTGGTGCCAAAAAAAGATCAGAACCGCGGTTGCAGGGGCCTGCTGATTGGCTTCACGTTTTCCTCAAAGAAAGCCTGGATGTGTTGGACCTGCTTTGTTGTGCGCACAAACCCCCGAGGACGCACACATTCCTTTGAAGGAACTTATCAGATCCACAGCATCCACCTACCGGCCCAGTCCGGGCTCCTGACATCTCTGAGTATGGGCCAATGCACCCTGTTGAAACTGGCAGTTTCCATGAACAAATGGGACCATTAGAGCCTTTTCTGTAGAAATGGATAGTCATAGCTGCATCTCTGTTATTTATTTCCCTTGTTTGACCTAATTCTAATGAGTAGAACTAGGCCTGATGTGATGGGGAGGTGGCTGCCTATAAACGATGAGTAAGATTTGGTCTGGAACAAATATGCTTTACTGATATGGAAAAATCTCCTTTTCATTAATACAACTCAGATCAAATTTCAAATACCACAATGGAAAAAGGATCTTATTAATATTATTATTATTATTACAGTTACTACTATTATTTTTATTATTATTATTATTATTATTATTATTATTATTATTATTATTATTATTATTATTATTGTTGTTGATATTTTTAACCAATAGATAGAAGACAGAAACTTTCAGTTGTACAGAACATGCGCAATATCTTAATGGTACATTATGTCTTCCCATTAGATGCTATATTCCAAGATTTGACATAATCAATCTTGAATTTGGACAACTTTAAACCTATTTTTTCTGATTCAAACTCAACTTGAATGACTTTGCAAACTTCATTCCATGTCCAAATCTGTTTTTTATACTCAAAGCATTTCTCCAGAAGTAGACGAATGGATGATTTTTTTTGGCAAAGAAAAGAAAAAGACTCCTTCTTCCTATTTTTTAAATGTACCTCCCCTCTGAATCACAGCAGCCACATCCATGCCGTCGGGTCTGTGTAGAACCCCTTAATCAAACTGTGGAAAGCTTTTGAGCATCAGTCAGTTTGTTAATGTTCTGCCTTCAGGGCCTAATGAGTAAATCAGTTGGCAGGTTCTCCAAATGGTCCGACTTTTCTTTATGGCTCCAAACAACTTTTACCCCTCATGGTGTCTTCCTCCTCCTCCTCCTCCTCCTCCTCTTCCTCCTCAAAGCCTCACAACTCCTGCCAAGGTTTCAAGTGACAGCCATTCTGTCGCTCTCTTCCTTTCTTGTTCCAATTGGGGGAGGATGACAGCGGCGGTGGTGGTGGGGGGGGGAGGTCATAAAAGGGGATGAAGAGACATGCAGGCAGATCCACTGAGAGGCAGAAAGGAGGACACTTTCATTGGAATCTCTATAAACAGACACAGAAATGCCTGAGCCCCAGAAGCCAGGTAAGCTGGTGCATCCTTCGGGATTACGATAGAAACTTCCACCGATCAGGAAGTGGGAGCGGAACAATGTTCAATGTTCATGTTTAAATATCTGCAAACAAAGCCAAAAAAAAGATTCTTTAAAACTTTTGTGCTGTGCATAAATGAGGGTGTCATCGGACACGTTACAGCTTGGCTCTAATGGTAACTAATATCTTTCAGAAGAAAAAAATATTAGTTTTTGTCAGGGAAATGACAAAAAATGTATTATTTTCAAAAAGTTAAGATCGCCGGCCATCCTTATAAGTTTTGGTTTTCATTTGTTACTTTGAGGCCCATTTCTTTATTTTTTGTCGGTGTGTTGCTTTCTCTTTCCCTAATAATGGGTTTGGTTGAAAAACAGAAAAGTTTCTTTGTCTATAATGAGTGCAAACTTAGCTGTTTTTTAAAAAAATTCAGAAATGCCGTATCATCATATAAATACCCACTTCTTCCTCGCATTGGTTTTCATAGCAAATATTTACCATGTTTCCAGAGTGAAACAATAAGATTGGTTGTGTTACTCATTGACTTAATGCAGGTAATCAATTATAAAATGAGCCTAACTGACGAGAAGCTTAAAGAAATAAGTAGAGATGCTTGAGAATGGGCCCCTAATGGTAGCTGTAATGGATGTGCAGGCTTTTGTTAGAGGAAATTAGTTGTTTGAGAGGGTATCGTCTGTAGCAGTTGGGGTTTATTCAGTGAGAAAAACGCAGAGAGGAAATTGTGATTGGGGAAAAAGTCAGTCCACCCACGGCATAAACTGAAACATTTCCTAATGTTCGTTCTGTTATCTGTCATTCAAATTAAAAATATTTAAGGTAATCACAAGACAGACGTGGTAAAAGGAAATGGAGACGAGTTAATGGGAGTGGAGGTGTCGTAAAAGGCGGAACGACTTCCCTCAGCATCCATAAAAAATCCCTTCATTGCGCCATAAACCGCATATGTGCGATTCCAGTAATGTGTATGATATTACAACATATGCGGCCCGGCATTGGAGAGCCTCCGCCGTGAAACTTTAACCAACCGCATCCCCGTGGTACGTGACATTAAACTGTACGCGCGGCGACTTTTCTATCGGCCGCGGCCTACGGAACGCGCCCGGCTGCCTTTGTCAACAGCGGCCTCGGAGTCCCATCAATCACCTCGAAATGTGAGGAATGAGAAAAATACACGAGCTGAGGTTTGGAGAGGAGGGCATGGAGGAAAAGGAGAAGGTAGCAGATAGAAGGGGGGAGAGATGAGCGGGATGATTTGTTGGAGAGACCTCGGCCAAGTCAGGTGTGACTGTGGCGGGTGGTATCTCTGCACCTCAGACACCAAATCCATCTGACCCCCCTCGTATCCTCCACCGGCCAATCGGCAATCGGCTTTTTCTTGATTTTGAATCCTTCAGTGTGTGTCGATTGAAATCCTTTGAATATGGAGCAGCCATCAGAGCCAAATAGACACAGCTAAAAAAAAAGAAAGAAACCCAAACAGTCCGTATTTATAGAGCTCTGCTGGCGCGTGATAAAATGCGCTTGATTTGATATCTCTCTGCCCTAAAGGTGCTTACAGCCGTTCCCTTTTTATTCTATCGCACAGTAATTTAATCCCGGGCATTTCATTATATCGTACCGACGTGTGGCTCGTTCAGCGTCCTGACATCACACGTATTATGTTCCTGACACCACATTACCCACGACTCCCTGGCCCCTTCCTGTTCTTGGTTATCCCCCCCCCCGTCCCCAATCGCCAATCGCTGCCCCCGTCCTGAACTCCCTCACACCTCCTGGGCGGCGGAGGCCCTCTGCCCCTGTCCGTCAGCTGGTTACAGCTCATGCGACTCCTCCGCCGGCGTCTTGCTCATCACGGGAAGCCATGGCGATCCGGAGGAGGCACGCATGCCCAATAAACAGCTACAGGAATAGTTTGAGAGCTTGGTGGTCGGCCCCGCGGATCCACGTAAGGAGAGACGTTTCGACGACGTCTGACTCGACACCGATTGACCCCAAAAAAGCCTCAGAAATAAAGCGAAAACAGTAAAAAAAAATGTCGTTTCTAATGAAAACCGCCTGTTTTACCTGATATAACGATGGGGGTGTTAGAACAGGCTGGCACAAAATAATTAGGGCTTATGCGCCAGAGCTGATGCCACTAGTTGCAGGGTGGATGTTTGCTGGCGCTGCAGAAATAACAGCCTAATTTTTAATTACCAGTCACACTGCTAGAGGTCAGCATCTCTACCCAAACAGCCCTCCCTCCTCTGTTCGACTGGAGAGGAGCAGAGGCTACCAACATACAGGCAAACCTTGACTAATGAGAAGCCCCGAGGTAGATAATGCGAACCAAAAGCAATGAGAAATATCATCTCGGAATGTTTTCATGTATTTTAAGTCCACACGTAGAGAATTTCCTCCTTTGAGCAGCCGAGGGAACGATTGCGTTCGGAAGATTAGATTAACGCCGAAACTTCGTGCGGCAAAAGTGAATTCGCAGTTTGAAAAACTGCTGGAATAAATCTGAGAACATCTGTTATTTCTAGATAACCTAATTGCATTAACTGCAATCTGTGAGCGCCCACACTTCCTCCGTTTTTCATCTTCGGGCTGTGTTTTTCAAGACGGGAAAAGGAAATGTAAAAGAAATAGAGGAAAATACAATAAAGAGAATAAAAATCTAGCTACAATAACTAGAGTCCAGGGTCTGTGATGGCTTTTCGCCCAAAACGAATGCAATCTGGATCTGAAAACAGACGGCTGTATGCTTCAGGCCGCTGGGGTTATCAGAGGGAGGGGGAAAGACTCTGCATGACATTAACCTCTGTCAGCAGTGTTCGATTAAAAAAAAAACCCTTTCTTGCATGTAGGAGCTGTGCTCCAGCACGTCCCCTGTGAGAGGGTCTGCCACAGATAAAGCCCCAACAGAGGAGCACGGGAGTGGGAGTGTAATGTAAATGGGCTTAAAAAAATGTGTCGAGGACCAGACTTTTATAGATAGCCCTGTGAAGGACTTGGGAAGTACGAAAAGATTGGGTGACAGGATGACTCACGTTCGCCAACCCACAGGTTTGGCAGAACCGAGGCCTCCCAGCATGAGGACTATCAAAAGCACGCTTGTAAAATTAGACAAGAGTTTCTCAAGAAGATAAAAATGAAAACGATGAGTCGGCCTGTTTACCAGATATCGGGGGGCCTTCGGGATATTTTTCAGAAGCCACGAGCAAAACAACGAGCAGGTGGAAGTCTGCAGGGAGCCAAATAGTTCCTACGAAAGGTGTCCCGGCTCTTTGAAGCAAAGGCCAAACCACTGCGCGCTAACTGAGAGGTTTCGGGCTTGACAAGCGATACTCCGCATCTGTAAAGAAACATCTGGGACAAAAAGCAGGTGTAAAACAGATGTAAAGTGTTACATCATCCAGTAGCTATCCTGGATGGACCTCTGCTGAACTCTCCAGTGAGACTGGACAAAGAAAACAGCACCTGCTGTGCATTTTCTAAAGCTAACTGTGATTTCGTTACTTACTCATCACACACTCTGCATTTGACTTAGCTGACTTGCTCTTTTTGGTCAAAATGCTCCAACGGTTACTGACATCTGCTGATAAGCATCCAGACATTTGCAGGAAAAGATGAGAAAGAGGACTAAAGAGAGACATTTTTAAAGCTCCAGTTGGTTTGATTGAGGAATAAGCAAAGCCATCGCAGAACACCTCACCGAAATGTTCAGATTTCTTCCCCAGAAAGAGGTCTTCGTAACAGCTTTTCCTAAAGGTAAAGACTCAGGAGTTAAATGAGCTCACTGGGAGCTTTACTATATCATCAGAGTTCAACCCAAATCTGTCCTACTTACTTCTGCTGCAGCCAGATGCACGGAATGGATAAATTTAGATGTTCAGCAGAAAATGTGGCCATCTCCAAGTCAAATTTCTTGTTTTTACAGCACAGCAGATGTTTAGTGAAAGGTTAACCCCCCTCAAAAGGCTGAAGGGTTGAAGGAAATCTGTATGACGACTAACCCCAGTGTAGCGTTACTTCATACCGAGGCCATCATCGAGTCCCCGCAGGTATGCGCCCGGCTGATGGATTACAGACAGATGCAGAGTCCGGCCACTGTGCCACGAGGTCCTGCGAATGGGAAAGCGAAGAGTTAGCTAGCATAACACTAACAAAGACTCTCTAAACTCAGCCTGAGCCGCGGGATGTGCGGCGGAAACACATCCAGGATTGATCGCTGATTTCTGAGAGCTTTGACTGGGATCTGAGGGAGGCCTTGGCCTAATTGGAGAACAGGCCACGCGGACGTGAGCTGGAAGGCAAAATGAAAAATTGGAAGGCTGGAGTGAATGACAGCTTAATATAAAATTTAAGGCCTGGCTTGTGTACCGAACACGACAGACTCTTCATCCCGAGACTAAAGTGCATTTAGCGACTGTTGTCTCAGGCGCCTTTATTTCCATAATGACCATTCATTCAAATTGTCAGCGGAGTTTATTGCATTGCTATAAAATCTAACCTTCAATTTCGCACCTTTTTTATTTCCCCTTTCAACGCCACGGCTAAATAGTTTCTTTCTCCTCCTTCGCTCGGCCGTAAATCTCGATCCCCACACGTGGCGGCGAGTGGAGGGGAGGGGGGGGCGAAGACACCACCCCTGGAATCCAAACAAGTCGTAATTCTCATCATCATCGCCGTCGCCCTGTGTTAAATACAGCTGTTCCATCTGCCCCGATCCCTGACCACAACAGCGTCCAGAAACACTAAATGACCCGTCCACAAGTCCAGCAGTTCCCCAACTGAGGTCAAGATGGAAGAAACCAGAAGAAAATGTGAAATTTAATAGGTGTCTGTCAAAATAAATCAGGACACAGATGCGTTTCTTTTTACGACAAATGAAAGCAAAACTATTTTAAGTCTGAATCTTTGACAAGGAGGAATATCTGGGAAGTTGTTGGCAGGTTGATTTGGCCTCGTTTGTCTCGTTGTCCTTGCTCG